GAAGCCCTCTGGGTGTCCAATGTTAGTGTCAAAGTCCATAAACATATATTTAACACTGAAAGTCTATTTAGATGATCCTTGGAGATAGTGTTGTTATTTGGCGGACTTGGGCTATCTATCAACGAAGGATTTTGGCAATTTCGGTTCCTTGCGTTCTGCTCTTCACATCGTTTGGTGGGCCTCGCTAGTCTTCCCACCTCGCTAGCGCTGTCCCGCTTATTTTTTCATAGTCTTTGTGCTCATGGATGTTGTGTGCAACATCTCCGAATTGAACAGCCCGTTCCCTGGTAGTCATAAAATCTGCCCAGCGGCCGACATCGTTGGATGGGCTTTCTCTGTCGCGACTAACATCGCTTGCACCGTGTTGATCGGGTTCAAAGCATGGTATGTGCACAATTCACGGCGCCACGCATCTGCTGACGCTGTGGATACTCAGGCAGCATCGGAAGAGAATGAGGGACTCGAATATGCCTCAAATGCCAACAGAAAAAATCCTTTCGCTACTTGTCGAGTCTGGTTTCATCTACAGCTTATTATGGGTACGAAGGATAGTCTGTGTTCTGCAACGAAACCACTGACCCTTTCCTTCCAGCTCAGCCAAGTCATTGCATACACCGGTTTCAGTACAGTTTCGCCCTGGCACTGGGTCTATGAAGTTCTCGATCCCATGGGCAACCAGATCGCGGGCATGTACCCCACACTCATTATTGTTATCGTGAATTTCAAACGCACTGCATGGGAGGAGGCCTCTTCACACAGCCACTCCGGTACTTCCTCCAATCCACGGTTCAAAAGATCCGGACCAGCCGAAAGGTTCAGTTACCACCGGCACGGCGGAGTCAGCATCCAACTCGAAACTGTGATTGAAATGGACAACATCGTCAAATCAAATGACAAAGAGCCCACCCACCTTTGAGGGTGTTTATTTTGAGCTGGTACTGTCGTATGATTCTGTACACCTTCATAGATCCATACGTGTAATCTGCTGAGTATTTCATGTAATATTGGGATCTTATTCAATTCAATGGCCGTCCTTATGTACGCGTCCTCGCATCCAGTCAATCATTCTGCCTCACATTATCGTGAGGCACCCAAATACGGGCCTTCAAGAATGATTACAGGCCTCGTAAATCCACATTTTATCCCTTGCTGATTTGAGGCGCCTCTCCTTCCTTTCCCTGGCTTTTGCCAACAAAAAATATTTAAATCGACGGTCCGTAAAAGGAATTGTTGGCCCGCTGCCCTCGCGGTTACTTGCCTAGGGTTTTGATTGGTGTATTCCCACCCCAATGAATACAACCGTGATTACATTTCGGTTCGGGACATCGGAAACTATATCATCCCAGATGGGTATAGTCTGGCGTTTCTAGTAAGTAATCGAGGTTGATTAAAGCTTTGAATTGCGGCTTCCCGAATTCTTCTGGCTGAAACAAGTATCTTTATTTCCCGAGATCATCAAATGTGTGAATTGCCAATTTGGGAAGCAGGCGTAGTGTTGTCTGGTCTTGTTTGGCTGATGATCTTCGCAAGTTGTAATAAGCGTTCTTACTTGTGCATCCAAGCTGTGCGCGTTGCCTTCGCAGTGCAATCAACCTTGGGGTATATATGATCCGCTGGATTTTATGGCCTGTCGTGCGGCTCTTTTGCACAGCGCATGGGAAGCACACAGTGCAATTTCAATTTGCCCAGTCACCCCCCGCCAGCATTCTCGATTCGAAACTTGCCGCAAGCTCGGCTGGGAATCAGCAGCGGCGGAATAGTTACGAGGGCCGCCAGTATTCTGTTTCAGGCACCAGTTGTATAGATAACAAATTAGTGGTGTAATTTTGGTTCTCGATGTCAGTTAATATCGGCGTCGAAAGATCTAGCACCCGCGCCTTTCTGCTACGGGCGCGCGTGTGCGGCAGGACGCTAGTTGCCAGGCGCGTCATCGGCATCCAACTCGCACCAAAATGCCCTTTGGAACCTGCGATTGCTGCCGCTCACCCACTCGTCTGCAACGTGCCCACCAGCCCCTTGACAAACGTCCGCGCATTCCCGCTGCTCTCCTGATACTTGCTCAAGAACAGCTCATCCGCGCCTGAGTCTTCCTCCACCACCTCTCCCCTCGCGGCTTCGCCCTCCCCTTCGCTATCCGACTCATCTTCGTACTCTTCCTCCTCCTCGTCGTCGTCAAACTCATCCTCATCCTCATTCCCATAGACCGCCTCGTCTGCGTTGGCCACGTTCGTGCGGAGGAGGTCCCCAACGGAATCAGGGTCCGCAAGGGCGTTGCGCACGCCCTGCGAGAGGAGGCCCGCAATCTCCTGGTCGGGCCCAAGCTCGAGAACGTCCGTGTCCGCGAGCTCCACATGGTCGCTTTCCCCAAGCGCTTCCACAGCGCCAACGAGGTCGTCCCCTGCGCTCGCTTCCGCATCTGCTGCGGCGACTTCTTCCCCTTCTGACTCGACTCCTTTTAAGTTCTCTTCCGCGCGTATTGCCCGTCCATCGCGCTCCCTCACGGCATCGAGACTCTCCACCCGCGCGTCCTCCACCGCACGCGCACGGAACCATTTCTTCTCCTCAAGGCCTCCCTCCAGCAGGCGCACCTCGTCATACTCCTCTCCCTCTAGCTCCCTGTGCAGCCGCGCGATCTCCTGCTTTTCATCAGGGGTTGGCGCTGCAGCAGCCGGGGCGGCCGGACGTTTGTCGAATGATTTAGCGGCGGCGCTGGAGAAGCTAGCGCCGGCACTGGACTGCGGTGTCGATGCTAAGTTGGAGGGTGGGGAACGAAGCTGGGCGGTATCCCAGTCCGGCTCAAAATTGTCCGCAAGTTCGGCGTCGTATGCGGTCTCGGGGTCGACGTCGACGGCGGCTTTCGCAGCGCGGTACTCCTCCTCGAGGTCTAGCTCCATGCGGCGGGCAGCACGGCGTTGACCGCCTGAGGGATGTTGGTTAGCAATAGAAGCAACCAGAGGGATAAGAAAAGCGGCGAAAGAACGAGTTTGTCGTAGACAGAACACAATAAACTCACCAGTCCTCAACATTCCCGCATCCAGCCACATCTCAAACAAGCCCGCTGCCTCGCGCACCGAAAGCGCGTCCGGCACCCGTATCGCGCGCAAAGCTCGCACTATGCGCGTTTTTGGCTGTTCGAAGACTCGCTCGGCTTTTTTCTTCTTGTTCTTCTTCCCGTCCTGGCTGGGTTGGCCAACAACGCCGTCCGCCCCATCCTCCACACCTTCGACGTCACCCTGTATGTCGTATAACCCCCCGAGCGCCTCCTCGCCGTCGGACTCGTCCTCCTCCCGCGGCATCACCATCGTGCGCCACTCCTCCGTTGCCCGGGGCACGGGGAAGGGCGTCACGGCCGTCGGGGTGACCGAGTCCTCGTACGTGGGCAGGTTGTATGCGGTCCAGCCTGTCCACAGGGGGTCACCCTCGTCTACGTCTTCGGACCCGAAGGCGGAGACGAGTTCCGAGTCCGAGTCGGATAGTTCAGGGTCAGATTCTGCGTCGACGGCGGCGGAAGTGGGCTCGGAATTGGTCAGTTCGGCGTCGGCGTCAGGGTCAAGGGGCTCAGCATCAAGGTAGGCGAAGGGATCGGTGGGTTCTGGAAAAGATTTAGCGAGGGAATGGATGAAAAAGGCGGAACTCACCCTCGACCTCGCCTTCCAAATACGCTGCCAGCTGGGCGCTCCTCCTATATCCCACACTTCGGGGAGACGGAGAAAATTCATCGCTTAGGCGGAGGGCGTCGGAGAGTTGTGGTGGGACGGGGAACTGGGTGTCGGACCGGGTAAGGGAGGTTAGGACGAGACCACGGGCCAACTTTCTCATCCCCCCAGCATACTCCAACAACAGCCGAGGCATACTCAGATGGTGCGGCCGGATAGCCTTGAATCGAGGGTCCCGATACAGAGAGCGCCCGCACAGCGCTTGGAAGTCGTCGATAGCGATCAAGACGGGAAAGTCCTCTTGGGCACCGAGCTCAGAGAGGACCGCGTCAAGGACAAAAGGCGCGCGGAGGAGCGCGTCCACAGAAGGTGCCGCGCCAGCGGATGTCTCGGCCGCGGTCAAGCCCGCGTCGATGAGCGTCGTCAAGGGTGTTCCTGCGTGGAAGGTGCGGCCGCCGTCCGGGAGCACGACCTCGGACTGAGTGCTGAGCTGGCTTAAGAGATGGGAGTTGGCGCGCGCGAGGCGGGATAGAGTTTGGTACGCGGCCCTTGGTTGGAGATATGTTCTTGTTGCCAGGGAGTACTGGTACGGGGTGGAAGCGTCGACGAAATGGCGCGCGCGGGGGATGTAGAGGACGATCCATTCGCGCATAGCAGAGGCGTATTGGGCGGCTTGGAGGAGGAGGTATGACTTGCCAACACCGGGGCGGCCATTTAGGACGAGTCGGGCGGGACGATCCTTGGACTCTTCGAGGGCGCGGATGAGAGAGAGGGTGGTAGAGGTCGTGATGGCACACGGGAGGCCGAGGGTGCGGAACTAGATGTAATTCATAGCGAATTCATGACAACACGACGAAAAAATACCTCGAGCAGCATATGCTTCGGCACACCGTACACCCTCATCGGGCTAGTCGGGTCCAAATCGTGGAACCGCATCGCAACACCTGGGGCCAGCGTTCTTGGTCTCATCGGAGGCACAGCAAGCTGGAGGCGGCCTGGAGCCTCGGTCTCGAATAGCACATGGGTAAGTGCGCCCGCGTTCAAAGGTTTGAATATCCCGAGACTCTTCTCGCGCTGCTTGACGATGGGGCGGCCCATCGCGTCGCGCTGGATGATTGCCTTACCGCCTTTCCCTTTGGCTGCCTGGTTCTGCGAGGCGACAGCATAAGCAGACCGTTTCTTTTTGTACCGCGCCCCGAAGCGTAGTAATGGCGCGGGGCCAACCACTCCCCGGCCCAGGAGGAACATGGCAAAAAGTTTGGCGGGAAGACGCGGTTGCAGTGATCAAAAGCCGAAACTGGTCTCTGGCGAGGTAATATAGACTTGGCTTTTACAAGTCTTCATGGCCTCATAGCTCAGCTGGGAGAGCAGCAGACTGAAGCGACGTGGTTTGTGATCTGAAGGTCCTGCGTTCGATCCGCGGTGAGGCCATTCTTTTTTGTCCTTTTGCACTTACTTTAATTGGGACTCTCTCTCTCTTGTATTATTCTTTTACTTGGGTTTTACGGGTTTACTTTACGGTTTCGAATATACTCTGTTTTCTTTTACAATATTGTGTCTAGATTCTCGCACTTTCAATTGCGTTTAGCGATGAAAAGCTTGGGGAAACAGCGCGTGGACAATAATTGAGCCCCTTGGGAACGCCGCACTCGCTCGTATTCGAACTAAACTGAACGGGGCCTTGCCAGGACACTGATTTGATTACGCCGCCACATCCAACTCTGGGTATACGCCATCCTGCAATCCGATTTTTGAGCGTGCAAGCCTTTACCTTGTTAGTCCTTGTTCTCGCAGCTCAGTACGACAGTAATCGGCCTAAATTGAATGAAATGATTGTCGAGTTGGAGTTCGATTTGGCTCCAGTATGTAGCGACACAGACAACAGTTACTTCAATTCCTGCCCGGGCGGATGTCAGTCATTTCATGTGCCTCGTCCCACCGAGCCCATTCGGATCCGTGAGCTTGATGCCCTTGGGGCGCAACAGCTCCGAAAACGGTATCCATTTGTTCTTCCGAGCTTGCTGCCTGAAAGGGCGTTAGAAGACGCAATATTGAATGCTTCCCGCAATAAAATGGAACGCACTCAGAGTTCGGCCACTTGATACAATCCAGTTGAATTTCTTTTAGCGCCGGGAAGCTCGCTGGATCGAGGTGTTCGAAGATGTGTTTAAGTGCGGGTTCGTCACGATTTCTGGAATGAGAAGCGGGGACACGGTTAGATGGTTAGATGAAATACAGAACAGAGCACGCGTACAAGGTGTGGAATTCAAAACGGATCTTTTCGAGCGTATTATGAGGGGTGGAACGAGTGAGAGAATCTTCAGGAAGAGCCTGTGGATGACCAGTCAGCAGTGGACAGAGAATAATCACGAAAAAAGAAAGCGGACATTGCGTGCTAGTTTGTCCGCGACTGTTGAAGTCACAGAAAGAGTCTTGAGGCTTGTGCAAAGATCAAATACGTCGACCTCTTTGAAGATCTCGACCAGGGCCGTGAGATGGGTAAGTTGGGCGGCACGGGATCTAAGCAAGCCGATGGCGGCCGGGACGAGGACCTGCCTACCGAAATTGAGCTCCCGTAAGGAATCAAGCTTAAGGCTATGCGGAATGCAGATGAGATAAGATATGCATCAAGGAAAATACAGATACGCACGATCGGTGCGAGGCGATATCAAGAAGAGAGGGTGATTTACCGTCGATACTTAGCACCTGTAGATTGTCGAGAGCGGAAAATCCGGGAGGGGGTGGGGACAACAGCAGCCTCTCGTGTGCGGCCCATGTCAGGCGAGTTAAGGAAGTGAAAGAAGCGAGAACCGCGGAATCGACGCGTTCAATCTTTGACTTTGAACCAGGGCCAGTAGGTTCACCCCTAAGATCTACATAGAGTTCCTCTATGATGGGCCCCCGCTCCTTTGCGATTTGTTCCAGTTGGGGGATTTTGTAGCGGACAAAGCCGTACTTTTTCTGCCGCTCTTCTACAGATGGCAACGGCGACGGCGACGGTGATTGCGATCGCGATGAAGGTGGAGAATCTGCAAGGATCAGGATATCATGTACCGACGGAGGTCCTCTATAATACTGGGCTCAGCCCAGGTGCGGTGGATTGATGCGAAAAAAGAAAACTTACGCTTTGGTACCGTACGTGACGAGCGCCTCGAGTTTCGGATCCTTCCTGACGGCTTCGCGAATCTGGGGGGCGAAGGCCTTCGAGGTTAAAATAAAGTGGATTGACTTCAGAGAAGGCGCCTTGGCGACTCGATAAAGGTAGTCCGGAAGTCCAAGTCCGATATCCGCGACTAGGGTTTCGAGGCTTGGGGACTCTGCCAATGCCGACGCCAGAGCGTCCGCCCGAGCTTCCACCTTGGGGTACCTTTGCATTTCGGCACCTTTGACTCGATACGGAAATTCAAAAATTTTCTGCATTGCAATGAGGCTCGGTTTCGTTAGGAGTTGGTGGAATCACATACCAGATTATACCACTTGGGAATGAGGTCAAGGAGAGAGTTGAAGAGTTGGGTAAACTGTTTATTTTCTTTAGGCTTCACCTCCCACCCATCGGCGTCAACTACAATGACACGGTGTGGATTTATGAGCGCAAGGCCACTACATAGGTCTCGGACACTGTCGGAGCCCCAAACAAGGAACGTGAGGAACAGATCTGTGATATTTGGGGCGCATTTTAGGATGGTCTGCATGGCATTTCCAAAGCCACCCTCGACGCGCAACTTTTTGATAAGCAGGCCGAATTCTTTGTTGGATTTGAGGACCGTCTGGAGAACTTCGGCCTGAGCAGTGGTGCGGAGTATGACAACATTGTACAGAAGGGGCGTCGATACGCGAAGCCATGCTTTGCAGACGAGCAGGTACGTCGACGAGGAGTACCCGGGTGCCAAAAGCGGCTTCATTGAACGGTCAGAGAACACTTTGTCGGGGTGTTTAAGCAAAGGAGTAAGAATTTCGGATATGATTTCGTCAGGAATTCGATTGCTAGCCATCCTGCGAGCTCGGGCAAGAGTCCAAATGAGGTGGATGCAGAAGCAAAGGCGCAAGCCGAGAACGACTCTGGCGCACACGTGATCTCGGGGTCCCTTCTTCCTCCCACCACATTGCTGCATTCTTCGGTCCACTCTAGACGCGTTTTAACGCGGCTATTGAGCTAAACAAGTCTCTAGTCCGAGTTTACGCGTTCAAAATCCGCTAAATTGGCATAATGCCACGTACAACGACAGTACTACAGGTGGTTTCTACGACGAGATTCTCAGGATTAGAGCACGGGAATGGCTGGGATGCGCTCTTGGGGGGATGCTGTTTGTGGCTTCACGGACGCGGTAGGACAGGCGTAACCGTGCGGCTCGTCGGCCGTCGCCTGCGGCGCCTTATGGGCGCCCTATGGTGCTGGCTTGCCGTTTTGCTTGTCGCCTGCGGCTCCGTGCTGTGCTGCGCTGTGCGCGCTTCTCGCTTGCGGATCGTCTTTGTTGCGCCTCAACTATGGCTCGTAGAGGATGTGAGATGGGCGGGAGAGGTGTCGCCTGCAGGTTCCAGCAGTCGCATGCAGCCTCCAGGTGGCGTGGTCGTGGTTGTGGTACCGGTCGCCTGTGGCGCCCCGTGGGTGTGGCCTCCCCTATGGTTCCACCTGGTTTGCGGCGCCTTGTTGGGCGGGAGTCGTGATTGGCGTGGTCGCCGCAGTCGCGGCCGGGTCGTGGTTGTGGTGCTGGTCGCCTGCGGCGCCCTCGTAGTTGTCGCGCCGCGCCTAGGTGATGGTGGGAGTCGCCTGTGGCGCCCTGTGCTCGCGGGGTCGTGGTCCTGGTCGCCTGCGGCGTCCTAGCTGTTGTTACGCCTCGCCTACGGCTCGCGAGGGAAGGTAGCGATGGTGGTCGCCTGCGGCGCCCCATGCACGGGTGTCGTGGTTCTGGTCGCCTGCGGCGCCCTATGGGCGGGTGTGGTCGCGGCCTCGCCTGCGGCTCCATCGGCACGGCGTCCCAGGTTCCGGGTTCAATCCACGGTGATGCTATGCATTTTACATTTATTCTTTCCTCTCTCGTCCTCTTAATTACTCAACTCTTTTCACCATTTCCAGTACTTAAAGCCGACTCGTACTCGTAGAGTAGACTCAGGTCCCGTATTCAATCCACGATGATTCCGCATGGTCGAAGTGGCAGCCTAGATTTATATGACATTCCCGAGCACGACTACCTTGTCATCAGCTGTCTCCACACAGCGAGAGCTGGTTGTGTTCGAAGTATTACTGCGTTCATCTCGCCCGTGAAAAGTCGACCCAATTTATTCGAACCAAGTGTCTTAAAGGAAGGTGGTTGAAATGTTCCCCGAACATCACTGTGTTAAGGCCCTAGTACTGTGTCCACTTGTCTTGACCTATATTCAAGTTCACAATTCTCGGAATCAGAGGGATGTTTGCAGCTGAGTCCGCCTCGACTTTCATTCCTGATGCCCGGGGATTTTGCTAACTATCTGAATGTACCTGCTTTCATTGTCGGTTTTCTTTAATTAATAGCATCTCCCGAGTTCCCACCGATCGTTTCGAACCTGGGTACCTGTTGGCGTCGATACCGGATATTCTCTCGTCCACCGAGAACACCCGGGATCTTTCGTCCATCGCATGGCAGCCACCGTTGATCCATATTTTAGATACATCGAGGTTCGTTCTTTCGGCGGCGATTTCCGCCAGAGTAAGAGTCCCGGTGTCCGCCGGAGAATATCATGTGCGGCGGTGCTAAGCTAACGTCGGGGAAAATCTTTGCTGAGCGTCAAACCGTCAGAAATGCGAGACGTTCAAGATACAGTTGAATCTGCAAAACACAATCAGGGCTTGTCATTTCGCCGCGCCCGTACCGTCACCAGAAGACTCAGTGGAGACTCGGAGCTCTGTAGTAGAGGCAAGCGAAGTGAGTATTCGACCGAGTTGCGGGAGCCTCACCGCACGCGCGCCAGTATCAAAAGATAACAGAGCATGCTGGGACCTGAATATGTGAGGTTTGAGTTTGAGCCAAGAGGGAAGAGAAGCAGTCTGCAGAGCGAAGCGGAGACACAGCCGAACCGTGGGCTCGGAAGGTTGGGATTTGGAGGACCGACACCAGCGTACAGGATGGCATCAATTCAATACCAGCCAGCGCTCTTCGCCCCATTCTACCGCTGACCCTTGCTCCCATCGCAGACATTCTTCAGGTAAATACTCTTCGGAGCCCACGCCAAGGTGGGTCGAGAATCTCCTCGTCCACACTTCTTCTGAGGCATTTTTCTGAGCCTGCCAAGCCCAGAACTCGCCGATGGCATTTCTACCGAGCGCAAGCTGCCACGGTCCCACCCGCGCGCGCCAAACTGAACCGGCGGCATTTCGCACAAAAACAGCGTCGGTGTGCTCCTCGTCGCGCCAGATCTCCTCGTACGAGGTCAAAATCCCCGTAGCGGGATTTACC